TGCGTTGGCGTTACCAGACTCTGGCCAAATTCACACGCCTCTTTTGAGAAGCAAGAACCCGCCCAAACGTGATACGATGTGAGTCAGATTGAAGTGACTGACTCGCCGTGTTTTCACCTTAACAATGTATAAATTTTAAACAATTTTATGATTAATAAAGTGATAATGTTTACCTACTTAAAAAAAAATTAATCAAATTATTTAATTTTTACTATTCAATTATTGATTTAGAATATTTAAGGTACTTATAATAAGATTTATACTTTTAGGAAATTATTGCTTGAAACAAGTTTTATATCTTAGAAGAATTATTGCTTAAAACTTTTTTAATATAATCATCAATAAAGAAAATTTCTTATTGAATTGAAAATAAGATTTTTTTTTATCTTTAAAAGAAAAAAAATCAGTTCAAAAGAAAAGGAGAGCATTATAACACTTTTTAACAAGACAAACATCTTGTTATCTTAATTTTTTATTGTGTTTAATAATATTATTAAATTTGTTATTATATAAGATAAGGTATGTAAAAATTATATGTTTTGTTTATATTTCTTATATATATAAATTAAACAATTCAATTTCAAACCAATTATTATTTAAAAATTCTAATGTAATTAAAAATTCAGATTAAATTAAGATAAATAAAATTTTTTAAAAAAACTAGAAAAATTTTATATACTTGAAAAGACAAAAGAAAGACTTAAGAAAGATGAATCTCAAGAGAAAAAAAGAGAGATATTTTTTTTACAAGTTTTTTTTCTAACAAAGTGTTCTTTCTTGTCTTTGACTTTATAAATGAGGTTTTTTTTGTATTTATTTGCAAAAATGCAAGAAGTTTGTTTCAAAAAGAGAAAGAAACAAGTAGAAAGAGACACAAGTCTCTAGATAATAATATTATTAAGAAAAGTGTATAGATTTTATTACAAAGAAATATAAAATTTCTTTAAAATATCTATTTTGTGGATAGCAAAAGAATTAGCAGAAAGAGTTTTTTAAAAAAATTATCTTTTTTATTAATTATATAATTTAAATTATATGTTCAAGTATCTTAATACAAATTTTATTTATTTTAACTTAATTTTGAAATTAAATATTTATTTTTAATTATTTACATTGTTGAGATAAGTGTTTCAAATAAAAATGGGTTATCAAAATTATAAGTAAATAAATGGATACATAGTATATACAGTATTTGTTCAAGTTTTAAATAAGATTATTTATCAAGTAAAAACATACGCGCGGTGGATAAGCGCTCGAATAAAAATTTTGAATTTTACGAAAAGATTTTTATATTTGAAAAACAAACCCTTTTTTAAAGTCAACAGACAGTATGTTTATTTGATATTTATTCAACTTCATCTTGTGTTTATATTTTTTATTTAACCGATTAGATATTTATATTAAAATTTGTAATCATTCGTAACATACCATAGCCATAGGTTATAATTACCTTTAATTACCTTTTTCTTTTATTTATATTGTAGACTAGGTTCTTAAGTCGATTTGAAAGGGATTGTTTAATTAATAAATTGTTTAATTAATAAATAGAATTTTTTTATAATCGAACTTGGCTTGAAATGTTACGCAGAAATTTCAGATTTTTTAAGCAAAAAAATTTATCTGATATACAGACAGTAATCTATTTATTTTTTAAAAAACAAATACTTGCAAACAGATTATTTGTGTGCACATATAATGTAATTGTTTGTTTCATCCTCGACCAATAATATATATGTGGTCTGCTTGCACTGCTGCTTTTTGAAGACAAGAAATGCAATCACCAAAACCAGGTTATAGTAAGATTATTATGAATATTTAATTCTGCTGTAAAATTGCATTTTCTTTTGTCGACTCTTTGGCGATTAGGAATAAGTGCAATGATCAACATTTTTGTTTACACAACTCACAATAGTTAGTTAACAAGGAGAATTCCTTGTTCTCTTTAATTACTATTTCAATTACACTTGCCGTTGTTCCTCGCGCTTTCATTCGCCATTGTAAAAAAACGTATTTTTTTTTTTTTTTTTTTGTTCTTGTTAAAAATTTTCATATAAACTATTTCAAAATTCAAAGAATAAAGCTTAACGTTAATATAAATATGTGTGAACAAGATTGGTCTTAACATAGTTAATTTTCTTGATGTTGCATGAAGTCGTAGTCTTTGCTTTTGGATTGAAAGGAAAATGAAAAAGGAGGAAAAAATAGAGATGACATATTATTATTATACAAGGTTGTTGCGTTTTTATGTTAAGATATTAAGAGTTTTTTTTCTTTGCCGTATAAAACAGCACTTATGTGGGTATCGAAGAGACGTTGGATGTCATTGCGATCCCCAAATCATTCGTTCTTTGGAAATACTTTGCTGTTATCAAGCAACTCAACTCGAGGCCGTTTGCTTGGATCTTGAACCTCTGGCATTGTAATCAATCTTGTATTGTAATTTAC